ATTCCACGTGCATCTTGCAACTCCACGTGATTCTCGCCACGCCTCGTATTAAGAGAGCTTCCCAAAGCTCGAACCAGCGGCAAGCTCTTCTCATTACGGAGCCGCTGCCACGTACAGTGCAGAACACTGCGTTACCCTGGCGCTTAAGAGTTAAAAGCGCACAAGTGTGACTATAAAGGACTTTCAAGGCTTATGGCATTAAGGTGGTTATGTGTTGAACCATAACTTGAACCATCTGAAATATTTCCAATTTCAATCCATCACTGACTTCTATCAGTATGGACTATGGACCGTAATAATATTATCAGGAGCTGCACAATAGACCAACATCGCATTAAATGGCATGATGGAAGTTAAATGCACATGGAGTCGCTATCTACACAGCAACATGACATGTGGTTATTAGATAAGACTCGTCTCTACCCACACCACTCAGTACCTGAAACGCAGTTAGGAAATTGAAACCTAAATTAAAATTAGTTTACTGTTAATTTTTAAAATGAACTAATCTTAGCTCCGTTTTTCAGGTGACGAAATCTGAAATTTAATATTAAATATTCAATTGCCCGAAAATTTTAACATCATGTATCTCATGTGATAGCATATCTTTTAGCTTGTCTCATAAATATATGCTAGAATCAGTACAACCAAGGTAGTTTTTGGTGCATTGCATTAAATTTTGTAAATAAATCTATATTATTGTGAAGGCTTTCTGTCTTACATACCTTCGTTGGTATCATAGTTACAATTCTATTTACTCCTAGCGTCAGTTAAACGTGACTTTGCTCTTGTTAAAATAATCACAGAGTTTTGACAATCCCTATATGTCTATTCCTGTTGATAATTTCCAATGTAACTAACGTAATAAAAATTAAATAATGACTTGTTCACCCCAAGTAACCACGAAACACTCATTTAACTCCCGCATTGAAATTTGAAAGCATTAGTTTTTCAGGTATGCGTAACATTTTAACAAAAAATAAATTCCAGGTACCAATATAAAATCTCCTCACGGGAGGCATATCGGATACATATTAAAATAATAACTATCTATTTACTGTGCCAGGTTTCAAACACAGAATTTTAAACATGTATGTAATAGCTAAGGAACAGAAATTCTAGCCAGACATATTTGGAGCTCACCGTGTAACCAAGGTCATCAAAGCGAAAGGTTCATCCTATACAAAAATTTCGTTCCATAAACATGCGGTATCAACCTATTACACAAAGTTATCCTGTTGCGCTTATTTTCTCTATTAACCTGGGTTAACCTTTTTAATTATAATAAAGGAAGTACTTTGGTGAAAAATATGACTTCAAAATTACGCAGATTTCATGTTATATTTAAACACTATACGCAGTGATGACGTAGAAAAATCCTTTACAGAATGCAGGAGCAGAGTTGAAGATGCCATGCACAAATGCAGTGGTGGAGTTGAGCATCATGTGCAACGGTAGGGCGGCGGAGCCACGGTCTAACTAATGCTTAAATGAAATACTGTTTGATTAAAGTTAGATTCTGCTTCGGGACAGAGATGATGAGGCTTCGTCACCAAGTCATCATGCACTAGGAGAAATTAATGAGATTTGTACCAATATTACCCCGGCATTTACCCTTTGTGTCAGTTTGTCTCGGCAAAAAGGCGTATCAAGTATAGTATCTTCGGCATTGAAGAATAGGCCTGTCGCCTATTCTTGTACTTTTCTTGACTAGTTCGCAGATCTATAAGACTGGCATTTTGATCGAATATTTTCATCGAACGGAAGGTTTAAAATCGTTTCTAGCTTTCAGTCGTTCCGTAGGATACGAGGCATTTCAAGACTAAACAAATCAAGTTTATTCATGGGCGGAACTGCGTCCGCCTAATACAGTGAAGAAGTGTATCGTGCTTTTAACGACTTAGCGTTTAACAACTAACCTCTACGTATGACAGGAGGTCAACATCCTGCGTCCTATGCAGTGCAGGAGTGGAACACTCACGTCTCATTCTCTTACTGCCAGTATTTAACGCTCAATTGAGACTAAGTGGCAATATACCCGTCTGCGGACAATTGGTCGGAAAGGCTGATTTGCCTGGCACTTACACGAGTTGTAGGCAATTAAAGTCTTTAAATAACCTAGCATGATAACGGTACGATCGGTACTTTCTCCCGTTGAGATTTTGCAGCGATGACGGATATGATGCACAAAGTATGTAAATGCACATAAGAGAGTAAAAATAAAAAAAAGCGTCGTAAAGAGTTCGCATTATAATTGTTTCATAAATGAATTGATACTTACACTCAGGTTTTGCATTTTATTCAACATCGGTATTGTTAAGTCGGAATAATTATAGCACAGCGACCACCAATTAGTTAGTCAATTCGTTTAGAAATCAAGTTTTTCCGATTATATTGTAATGAAATTAGTAGTGAAAATTTTATATGTGTAATACAATATAAAGATATGATGGAACATAACGCAACAATGTTTCGCGAATAATAAAACTTACAATTTAGCTACATTTTATGGAGCGGAATTTAGTTTCAATTATGCCGACCTAATTTTTCCAGCTAATAGTTCTGAATATTATTTCTTACGCACTTAAGCTTGTGCCTCAATTAAAAATTGTGTAGTCAAAATTCATCGTCTTTCAAATGATTTCCGCAATTCGATTGATTGCCTGTACTCAAGTTGAGACCGCAATGAGCATGGTTGAACGGGAGCGCTGCCGTAGCCCAAAAATTTGACTCTTAAATCAGCCCAAAAGCCAATGCCAACCCTCTACATGCAATAGAAATAGTCAGTCTAATACTAAGCTGGTACCGAAAGGAGGGGGAGCAGGGGGTAAGCGTGGAGGTTTAGCCTCCAGAAGAACGGACAGGCTGGAGAGGTAGCAGTGTGGCGCAGGGCGTTCTTTATCGAAAGTGGGGAAGGGGCTAGGCTGCATGGAATAGAAATATTTTAGGATTTAGCGTGTGGGTTACGACCATTGTTTTGGCGGCTGGCAGGTCATTGGCTCGCTGGTTTACATCCATTAATGGATTTAGTCCCTGTGGCTTTCAGCAAGTAATCATGTTGGCTAATTTGCTCTGCAGCATGCTTGCGCACGGGGTGAAGTATGAAAATTATGCTGGTATTGGGCAATGCTGGGTTACTTCAGTCGTCCCGGTTGAACTAGGTAGCATAAGGTTGACTCACGAGAAGCTCATTTTCGCGGATGGAGCTTGTTTTTCACCTATGACGTCACTGATCTCAATGACGTCACGGGCATTAACCAATCACCGAAATGCGTTCAAACCAGTCGACCAATCCGACATGGGAATGACGGGCTTGTTTACGTTTCTCGATCTACGTGACGTAACAAGAAAGCTGAACCGAAAGGTGGAACTTCTCGTGGGTCAACCTTATATAGTTCAAACCACGTTCTCATATATAGTTCTCAGGAATGCGAGTAGGCCGTAAAACTTCCATCCTAAAAAAAAACATCCTCAACTCGTTTAATACCCCCAATTATTTCATACCGGTCAGTGACGGCAGCCTTGCTGACAACTTCGCAACCAGTTTACCACCTGCGCTTTGACAAAGGATTATCGCTCAAACTACACATTTCCGCGGGTGGTCTTCGATCCGGATGTTTTTAATCTACAGTCAGCCTATAAAATCTCTCAACTTGTCACAAAGATGCAAATTTAACTCCGTTCAGGAACATAAAGCAAGCTTCAAATTGTGTTTACACTAGGATCTGATAGTTTTTACTCAACGACTTCATTCATACGTTCTAGCTAAACGAGTAGCATTTATACAGCCACTTCATTTCTGAAGAATAATCTTATGCTTGGTTAATAACCTCAGATTATTAATAATAGTGGTTTCAGCGTTTAGTAGGCCGTAGGCCTGTCGCCGATTCTTAATATTGCAGAACATCCACAGCTTGTTGCGGTCTCGAACTCGCAACTCACTGCTTCAAATTCTGCTGTGCCTAACCGCCCGGCCTCCCTGCCGATTCTGACTAGAAACTGGCGCACAGAGCTGAGATCGAACCCGCGCCCCTCTGAACTGTAAACACTGGGTGACCCTGCCCAGTTAAGTTATCAAGATTTCAGGGGCTGCGTATATACAAGTTGCTTTTTTCCAGAGATCATTTTATGGATGCAAATTCTTCTGTAACACATCAATGAAGACTAAAATACTAAAATAATATCGTCAGACCTTAACATGAGCGTTAGGATCTCAGTTCACAACAGATAGTCCAGTGGTTACAGTTAAGTGCGCCTGTTTCTGGTCAGAATCAGTGAGGAGGCCGGGCGGTTAAGCATCGCAAAATTGGAGCCAGAGAGTTGCGTGTCCGAGACCGCAACAAGCTACGAATATTCTGTGATGTTAAAAATCGGCGACAGGCCCAAGGCCTAATAAACGCTGAAACCGCTATTATTATTACAACATAAATTCTTGTTCGCTGTAATCATAGTCGAATATATAACAAAAGAGACCCGCAAGCCAGTGCAACATCGAGTTTCTAAACAAGAAAAATCAGTCTTAGTCAACCCCTGATAGTTAGTTAGTTAGTTTAGTGGCCAAATGTTTACTAGCGCTTCAGCTATTTAGCTATCTCGCACTGAAAGTCAAGATGAACATCACCATAGAGGTGGAAGGTCTCAATTATTCATCACCCACAAGGGGCGGAAGGTCTCAGATGTCCAGCCCGCTGAAGCTGGCTCAGACGAAGTGACAAGGAGGGACAGGTGAAAAGCAACAGAAACGAAGACACTCGAACAAGAGGTCGCTTACACGGGACGTCGGCCGCCCGCACGAGAGAGACAGAGAAGGGAAATGTAAGGAATCCTGCCTACATAATAACTTAACCCCACAACTGAGACCTACAGTCAGACACCGCGAGCTCAGCGGTGGGGCGCTCAGGAACAATCCCCCTAGAAGCGCGAAGTCCAATAGGACTTCTGACGAGCACAGACACCCGTCAGAAGTCCCCCCTGAGGGGCAACCCCTGATAAAAAAATTCAGCGACAATAACAATAATCTTATTTCTTCAACATATCAATATCAAATACAACCACTCCGCATTCAAAAATCAATAGAAACACCTAACAATATATTGGAAATTTAACCGGTTATCATACTATTGGGCTCAATTTCAACCTGCTTCCTACTTTTAAAGATTAAGGTCAACCTATCAATCTCCATGAAGGATTTAAATTTACTTGCCATATCACACTCGTGAAACACCAAATTACATCCATCCGAAATAACTTGGACAAGATCAACTCCGTAGTTGCTGTCGTGAAGTTTCTAGGTAGTTTGGCTTACAAAAGTTGCAAGCCTTCAAACTATTCAACTTACAACAGTTGCAAGCCTTTAAAATATGCAGAACACGGCCATGGGGTTAGCCACCGGCCCAATCGTCCATCCTAACACTGAGAAAGGCATGCTCCCTTTGTCCACTCACCTGCACCTGACATGCGCTCAGTTCCTTGCCAGTGCCCTACAGCCTACCCATACCACTCTTTACAGCGCTCTGCCCTATTCGGGGCCCGACATATAAAAGCATTCTTCATGTCCTGATTCAGCCACCATATGGAGACCCTCATGACGAACGATTTCTCAGGGAGCCGAAGCAGTCCCTATGCAAGATCACTAGCGTATCGGCGACCGTCGAGAACAACAAGGTCCTGATCGCTGCTCCATCTCCAATGATTGCCTCGGAAGAGGTCTTGCTTCCCCGCGCCTATCGCTCGGCGCCGTCTCAGGTCCGTTGGCGCTCCTACAGATCCATCGAGTCTTATACATTTAGGGTCGGACGCTCAGAGCCGCTCGCCCCCCAGTACCAGAATCCTATTCAGCCCTAAATAAAAGCATCTTTCTGTCTGCCTCTCCTTCTCCACAACCTCCAGCGTCTCTTCATTGTGGGACAGCTCCGTGGAGGCGGCAGCCTCTTGGCTACTATCCGTTCTATTGCCAATTTCCCTCTTCATGTGCTCCTCTCGCCCACCCCCGTGTGAGCATGTCTTTTGGCATAAGAAACAACAACTGGAAAAATCCTTACACATACATTGATGTCAACTCAAGAACACAGCTAGTAGTAAAGATAAGTATAAAGCTCGACATTAGAGAATCAGTTGCGGGCAATCTTGTAGCAGCTTAAGAAGTTTATCAAGCACGACTTCGTTGGTACAGACAATGCTCTGAGGGGTGTAAGGTGGCTTGATGGTAGCAAATCGCAGCACCTGGAAAAAAAGAAGTGCAGCTTAAAAATTTTTCAAAAAAGCTATTCCCAATGAGTGATTCTCAGGAGATACTAAATCATTAATTTATGCTCGATTTTCAAGGCAATATGCACATTATTACTAAAAATGATCTAAGCTGCAAACAATAACGTGGATGTTTAGAGGACTTCTTGCAGGCCACAATTGGCTCTAATTAATTTGTAGATTTTCCATGAACTTCCTACAATAAGCACCTCAAGGCAGTCATTAGCCTTCATGGTGTATGGCACTCGGTTATCCTTCAGCCAAACACACAGGACATTGCGACGCCGGTCCAACTCTGCTCTGCTGAAGCGTGTCTGCCACAATACACAATACATAGGTATACAAGTTAAAATAGTGAAATAAACGTAAATTAATAGCAATTGATTAAGCATTGTAGTATTGTTTATTAGTTTCTTCAATGAGGATAAGAAAATTCTACTTTCACCAAAAAAAAAAACAGAAAAAATTTGGCACTTCAAATATTTTTGTCTTGGATTTTAGTGAATTCAACTGGGAATTAATAAATAAAACATTATCACTGATAGGTTGAAACAAACTGTTAAAAGGAATTTAATTACATTAACTGCTGTAAACATTAGAAAATAGAAGTTAGTCTTCATGATAGTGATATGTGCTTACCTCATTTTGCTTGAAAGTGAAATCAATTTTTTCTTTCATGTTCTCAGATGCAACATGAGGATGAAGCCGAACCCCTGTGACATTGTAGCCAGGGACGAGTATGACGTCCTGCACGGTGCTGCCATCTGCAGTGAAGTTGACCAGCACAAAACTGTAACATAAGAAAATTAATCAAATAAATTAACTAGTGGCCAGCCATGATAAATACCTACCATTAAACGGGCTGATGTGGATCATTGATAGGGTGACTTGGACTGTTTTAACATTTAAAAAAGAAAACCCTATACTACTCAAAAAGTTCTTGCCTTAGTAAGATTGTGTTTATAGCTCCCAAGTACCATAAGATAGGTAGTAACCTAAAAACGCAATAAAGAGTAATATTTTAAATATTCCTACGTGACTATTTGCATCACAAAAGGGTAAGCACTAAAATTGGTCCAAGGCACCCCGTTTTACAGTAATTCATAGACTAGGTATTTTTATTAAGAAACATTTTGTTTGGTTTTGCAAAATTGTCAGAATCAACTCACTTTATTTATATTCATAATGTTTAGAGATAAAAAATGAATCTGACTGAATGTCATTGGAAAATATTACTCAATTTCTGATAGGACATAACCAGGAAATAAGCAAAAATACTTCAATGATAGGTACTAAATAATCACTCAAAGTAAGCATATGGATTCATACCTTTCAGAGACAGGATCAACTGTATGCACCCAGCCAGAGATTGGCTTTTGATTTCTTACAGTCACAGAGATGTAGCTATGAATTAAAGAGTGGAGTTTGCGAGGGTCATTTGAGTACACTGGGTGAGAATCAAAGGTATTGCTCACACTTTTTGCGTTTGTACATTCAGCACTAGCCATCTCTGATTCCATTTTAGAGGAGGCAGAAGAAATTTAAATAAAAGGCTGAACAAATGAAAAATGTTTTTGTTCAAGTAATATATCACTTTGGTATGCGTATAGATATAGGTATATTCTGGTGGGGGTCTTGTCTCTATCTGTGAGGGCACAAAAATTCATGTCTCAAGCCAATTTTTTGATGGATATGCTACTATAATTTAACATAGTCGACATAGACATCTATAGCTTAGATAGGTAGTATAGTACAGGGTGCGGCGCGGGAACTTACTTATTTGAATTGCGCGCCACGTGGCGGCCATTAGTCCTAGGAAGGTGGCGCCATGCGCAATATGGTGCGCGGGCTATGTAGACATGGGTTATTGAATAAAGAAAAGACAAAAAATAAATGCAAATAAATTGATAAGTTACGACTGAGACAGGGCTAGCTGAAGCCTACAGGAATTGAACAAATATTTATTAGCTGAACCAGCAGCATTAAAACATCGGTTAAGACCGTTCACTTGAACTAGTTTATTCTATCTCTATTAAAACGCTAAAGCTTAAAAAGAGTATCACTACATTATAAACTAAACTTGGACTACTAGTAAGCGATAAACACATGAGGGCCGGCGCCTGGCACCTACAACCTATAGAACAGTAAAAGCAATCAAATTTAGATCATATTGTATACAAATCAAAAGTAAATAAGATTTCATTACTCAAGTGCAAGAAACTGAGGAATGGAGCAACTTCTTCTTAATAGCTTAAGGGATCATAATAATAAGGGATCATAATATTGAAGTCAATATAAAGCAATATTTGACAGGTGTGTGGGACCCAGGAACATTATGAACCTGGTCATAACCAGGTGAAGTTCTCTCTCAAAACTCATTAAATATATTTGGTTCATGTAACAATTTCAGGCTGTTCTGATTTGCATAACTATCATTTCTCAGTACAAGGACCTATGGGAAGATATATATTTGAAGAATGAGAGAAATGAGAGGAGATCAAAATACATGTTTTGATATGAGATGTGAAATCCTCATCTTTGAGGGTCCAAAGAGTGCCAATTTATGGCAGGTGAAAGTTTACAGCAGAATAAGGATTGAAAGGTTTTAATGCATTTCCACATTAATGTTAAGAAGAGTTGAATGATGAAACTGAGAAGCCAAAGCTCTTCCACAAGTCCTCTCTGGCTGGCTAAACCAAATGTAATATATTACTGTTCTGGACAAGCTGAGCAGACTCTTTGTCTCATGAGCTATCCAAGTCCTTCCAAGATCAGCAAACTTTGTCCTAAACATAAGAGCTCTACATCAACACAAAAATAATTGGATAATGATGACTGTTCAAGTCCTCACAAGCTAAGACAACTGACATAAGCATTAGTTAAAATGAAATTAATGGCAAACCAAGTTAGAAAAATGAGTTTTAGACATTAAAATATTTGCAGGGCTGCAGATGCAGGAGAGGATCCTACATAGTACTCCTATCATAATAGGTACTGAAATGGGGTAATAAGAGACAGGCAAGGTAAATTGGGACAGTCCTGTCATGGCGTAAAAATTTTATAGCACCAAAACTAATTAAAATATTACAAAACTAAAAATAGTGGCATAAACTTCAACATTTTTCCTTTCAGTGCAAAATAGAAGAAGTTGAAAAATTATACATTTACTAGCTCTAAAAAATCCTTGACAAAATGTTTAAAAATGATATTTTGGAGAAGTACTTCTGCTAAGGTCTGTAGTAGAAAAATATTTGCAGTAAAAATTTGGCTAAAAAAATGGCAGACAGGTGTTGGCTTCAAAACTTTAATGATGGAGTTTACATACCATAAAATGGGGTAACTTAGACCACTTTTTTTTATAAATAATGCCATTTTTTACCTAGCTAAATTAAACTTGAATTGAAACGTGCAAAATACAGGTCTATACTCTAGCTTCGCTCACCATAAATTGCTGGCTCCTGCCTCTCAAAGTCTTTATGTAATTTCAAAAAAAGTGATGGTCTTTGTTACCCCAGCTCTTGGGGTATCTTAGACCGGGTGGTAAAATCAATTATATTTTTTGGTAAAATAACTCCAGGTTTTGCTGCATTGTAGTAGAACTCTTCTAGTTACATATGCAAATGACAAACTTGAGGAAAGTGTCATAGTTTGCAAATAGGGGCGCTGCCCCATAATGAGGGAAATGTGAGTACCTAATGGCAGCCCTGATGGGGTAATATTGACTGGCTTGGAAATTAAGTTAAAATTACCATATATAAGGCTCTGTAGAGTCTGAAACAAAGAAAAAACATAAACAGGATGTCAAACATAAAATATATTATATATGGTAATTTTATATTAACTTCCAAGCCAGTCTATGTTACCCCTTCAGGGCTGACATTAGGTGGTCTAAGTTCCCCCATTTGGGGGCGGTGCCCCCCATTTGCAAACTATGACACTTTCCTAAAATTTGTCATTTGCATATGTAACTAGAAGAGTTCTACTACAATGCATCAAAACCTGGGGTTATTTAACCAAAAAAAAAAAAAATAAAAAAATTGGAGGGGGTACTCTGACAGGCTTTAAATAATAGCTTTTTTTTTTTGTGGGTCACATTTTTAATTTTTTAACCTATTAGATATGCAAACTTTTTAAATCTTTCTATTGTGTTATGTAGCCTCAGTATTAGGCCTTTAATGCCTATTGACAAAATTTTTCTATGTCAAATAGTCTTTGAATTTTGGGGGTTTTTGTTAAAAAAATGAAAAGTGGTCTAAGTTACCCCGCCGGTCTAAGATACCCCATTTTATGGTACCTCAATCCGAAACAAAATGGCAGCCATTTCTGCAAGGCAAGGTATTAAGGGACACCCCCTGGGGTATGTAATACAGGACACCACCAAAAACACATTAACAGTTGAGAAATGGTTAGCAAAGGCTTTGGTTACTAGCAAAAAAATGGGAGCGCAGCCCTGCACCACAAATTTAGCTCGTAAACAAGCCCTAGCGCGAACGCCTACCCTATAATGCAATAACTAAAATCAGCTCACACCCAAGAAGCTGTAGGTAACTGAGTCATCTCCCCACACCAACTTTCAGCAACACCTACCCCACTCCACAGCCTGCTGAATCAAATAGTCAATTGCCAACAGGTCCTATTCCACAGAATTTTACCCCATGCTATCACTTCTTACACGCGCCGTAAGCCTTACTGGCCGCAGACCACACCGGATTACCGTAAACCTGCTCTGCTTTTTGCAGGACTGGCATAATCCAGCCGCACTCCGCGGGCAGAAGCACAAACCGCCATCCCTATAACGCCATGCCCCGGCTCTCCCCCCTTCGCAGCCATATATATAAGGCTTTCTTCAAATGCTGATCAGTTGTGCGCCAGGTTAGGTTAGGTTTGGTTATGTTAGGTTAGTTAAGTCCCTCCATCGCGCCAGGCGCATTACTGATCGGGCAAATAGAAAAGCCTTCTGCTGGCTGCGAAGGGGAAGAGCCGGGGCATGGCGTTATAGGGATGGCGGTTTGCGCTTCTGCCTGTGGAGTAGAGCGCGATGAAGCAGTGGCTGTGACGTAATGGCGCTGTTATGTCGGGCGCTTATTTTCAAAAGCCGCGAATACGCCAGGCTGTGTTTAATACAAGCACGCAACAGTTTGGCTATTTGCCCACGGCTGTTGCTTCGGCGGCTTGATGTTATCTGGCTGATTGATTCATTTCCAGGAAATTAAATGACACCTATGGCTTCAGGGACTTAATCACACAGGCTAATATGCCCTCTAGCGTGATTACGAGCAGAAAGGAATAGATATTGAACTGTGGGCAAGGGCTATGTAGGGGTCTATACTGCATCCCAAAAAAATTAGTTTAAAACAACAATTTTTTATTAAATTTAACCAATCCCATCAAAAAAATTTCCCTTGATGAAAAATCAAGGCATCATTGGTTATCACAAAATTGTGCATAGAATAAAAAGTAATGAACATAAACTATGATTTATTTCTAAAAAAATATGATGGTGTCCAACAGAATACTTTGTTTCTGTTTCACAAATTTTTTTTACAACCATTTTGTGTTATATGCAGTGAATTCATTCATTTGACTAAATTAAAATGGTGCAAAATTACAAGCCCAGTCCCATAAGCTGATGGAGGAAATGATATAGGGAGGGTTGGCAATGACTAAATCAAAATGATTAAATCATGTGATTAAATCACTTGATTTTTTTATAAAAAAATCATGTTTTTTTTCATTTTTTCAATTTTTTCATATATTTAAACATATAGAGTGGCAGTCTTTAATTTATATTGAGTTATTGTTATTCATGGTTTAGTACCTATAAATGTACTATGAATGACAAATTGGTATATAAACATGTTGCCTTTAGTGTGTATTAGGTTCCAATAAATTGAATGTTTTTGGTACAGCTAGTTGGCATCAAGTGTGCAATACATTGTACGTAGCTAGCAGCTTAGCTAATTCTTATAAGGCTATAAGTAGTCTTTAACTGTTTGACTATTTGTTGTATATTGATTACAATATACAATTTAAATGTGTTAGCTAGCTTATACAGGGTGGGGCAGAACTGATTGAACAGTTTTGAGGCAAAATAAAAGAGTAATGGAGGTACATAAAGAAGAAAGTTTATTTTCCTCAAGATTAGCATAACATACCATTTAAAATACTTATGTTTCAAAAACAATATCAGGAAGATAGGGTTTGTTAGCTGCATCATACTGTTGGAGTCGTTCTCAAAAGTTTCCTACAGCACGTTCACACATATGGCGAGGTATGGCCATAACCTCTGCTGCAATAATCTGTTTCCTTAGCTGTGGTAGGGTGTGAGGGCGACTTCTGAACCCCTTTCTTTTAGATGTCCACAAAGAAAGAAATCGCAAATGCTTAAATCTGGTGACCTCACAGGCTACTGTAAATCACCCCTCAGAGACACCAGACATCCAGGAAACATCCGTTTCAAAACATTGAGTGACATTCGGGCTGTGTGAGCTATAGCCCCATAGTGCTGGAACCACACGTCTCCCAATGCTTAATTTTCAACAATGTTTCCCATCATGGGCTGCAAGAAATTTTGCAACATTGCAGCATAGCGATCGGAATTCACTGTTACGGTTATTCCCTCCTTTGAGAACGACTCCAACAGTGTGTTGCAGCTAAAGGCCCCCA